GATGAACGAACTTTGAGCTGGGATTGGATTGTGGTGGTCATCGGTGCAACGTTGCAAAATACTCCCTCTGTCCCAAAATTATTGTCCAGTTTAAGATTTCATTTTTAGTACAATTTGAGCTAAAAATGAAAACTCAAACTGGACAATAATTATGGGACGGAGGGAGTATTAAAAAAGTTAAAAAAGAGTCAGGAAATATTTAGGAGGGGTATTTATGTCTCTACAACATTAAACTTGCTGACATCATCGCTATGTATCATTACCCCTGCAACAGAGGGTCAGTTTGATGGTTGACCCGCCGGTCAATGCGTATATTGGATACTTCCTCAAGAGGTGAGGATGTTTTAGATAAATGATCAAACCTCGGGGGTGTATTTGATATTAACCTAAGAAAAAAATTGTTGTTTTCTGTTTCCTATAAATTTTAAGCAAAATTACCTCATAAAAACACTAAACTTATTCCACTGAAAAATTGGCTGTTCTACTCGGTACTCATAGCTTTACCTTCATTGTTTATGTTACCTAAAGATTTTCAGTTAGTCACTTTTGTCTTATACGTTTGAAAATTTTCCAATTTAGTCTAATTGGTTCAATTTTTATTAAATTTAATGGATTTCATTAGTTTTTCTAAATAAAAATACCCCATTAGTTTCCAAAAATAATAAAAATAACCTCTAAAATACGTAAATAACAAAACAATCCTTTTCTATTCATTTTATTCTAATTCATTCTATTTCCCTTTTTTTAAAAAAACCTATTCCTTTTTTTTTCTATTTTATTCTATTTCCCTTCACTACTTTCCATAACCATAAAAATATGCTATAAGACATTCAAAAGTTTTTTTTTCAATTTCTATTTCAACTTTTATATATTTTTAAAAATATTAAATATTAAATTTCCACTTTTTTATTCTTTGCTTTATACGATTCATGTTTTTATATTACTAAATTTCAAGAATTAATTTACCTTTTGTATTAAAATTTATATTATTAAAAAATTAAATAATAAAGAAAATAAACAAGCAAAACTCAAGTTGATGTAAATAAGAAAATTAATAATTTATCAAAACTAAAAAATAAGCTAAAACAAGTGTTTCCTCCTTGACTACCTGTATTACATAGATTAGTTACCAAATATAAATTTACTCGCTCTACCCTAAATGATTATTTTGTTCATTATAATAAAATAATATAAGAATTGGACAATCACTTGAAACATAAAAAAAGTGCTATTTAAATTAATCTGCAATGATGAATTTCTATGAATTTAGTTAACACTATTTTTTTAGGAATTATTATTGTTAATTTGCCAATGGCTAAACTATATAATTAAGCAATTTTGGAATTTCATGAAAAAGATAAATACATGTACTTTTTATCGGGATATTTTTTTATATTTTTCATGACCTAGAAGTTTAAAATATAAAAAATATATTATTTATTAAAATTTAACAATTATACTAGTACCAAGATATACAAGTCAAGAAGTGTAAAAAGAATAATCGTTAAGAAAATAAAATAAAAATAGAATTTTTTTTAAAATAAAAACTAACATAATTGCCCCTGGACCAATTCACATGTTTTGCAAATGAAAAAATCGAATTTGAAAATAATAAATATTTTTTAAAATATCATATAGTATATTTAATGGTCATGAAAAGTAGCAAAGAGGAATAGAAAGAAACAGAAAAAAATGAAAAAAAAAGTGAAAATAGATTGTTTTATTATTTTACATATTTTGCGTTATGAATAAAAAGTGAACCTATTCGGATGTTTTTGTTAAAAAAAACTAATGGAAAGGGAGAGAAGTTTTTATTTCCTCTATTAATAAAGAAAAATAATTAGTTTATCACTTAATAAGATGGATTAACTGATGTTTAAGTTTAGTTAGTTTATGTTAACTAGATGAGCACTTGTTAAACTGTCAGATGATGTCACAGAGAATGTTACACAATAGTGTCACATAAAACCTAATGCTTTTTTGACCGGCCACGGACAACGTAATTAGACGTTAATTGTTTGGTTCAATGACGATATCATAAATTTGAGGAAAAAAAGTATTATCTCCGTCCCAAAAAAATAGTTCATATTAAATTTTAAAATTTGTACTAAAAATAGTATAAAATTCAAAATTTACTGTGAACTATTTTTTTGGAATGGAGACAGTAAGAGAAAAAACAGAAAAGATATGTTCGCACTGTCTGTCCCTTCGGACTCCCCTCGTTGGTTTAACTGATATTGCATTTTCCCCCAGCTACAAGTTTCGGGTAGGGGTGACTTTCCTTTCACCACTAAAATTTTAATTTCATAGGCATTATACTTATTGCTACGTACATTTAATCTATCAGATTTTTTAGGTTAGTCAATTACTATTCCCAAACATAAAGTTTACCTTCCTATGCTTCCAATCTACTCCAGATAATCATTTCCTAAGAAACAATCTCAAATCTAGTGAGAGAGAGAGAAAAACTGACGTGTCACATTAATCATGATCACAAGTTTTCCCTCTAAGAAGATACGAAGGTAAAACAACATCGATGTTTTGATTAATTTTTTTAAACATTTTTATGAAAAAACAAACATTTATTACAAATGCATATAAATATCAACTCCTACTAAACTAATGGCCGAAGAAAAAATTGTATTAAACATCAATTTGACATTGTCTTGTCCAAGTAATGATAATAAGAAAAACCTGGCCTTTATGGAAAAAAAATCGTTAAAACTTCATACATAAAATAACAACAAAACTCAAAACAAAATATTTTTCTTATATTCAAACTCTATGATCCTAATACTCCCTTTGAACCTTATTATAAGACATTTTGATTTTGTCCTAGTTTTCAATTAGTAAGCATTCTTAATTGACGAAAAAATTTTAAAAATATATTTTCACATTCGTTGTATTCTCTTGATTGTTATGAAATGTTTTTAAGGTTTTTTTTTTGTCAATTTAAAATACGTACTAGATTAAACCTAGGATAAATCAAAATGCCTTATATTAAGGACCGGAGGGAGTACCAAATTGCCATTAAAATGATTGTAAGAGAGAGAGAGATTTTTTTTTGTTGGAAACTAGAGAATAAAAGTTAACTTGTCAAGATATAGTTAGAAAATGTCTTAATTTATGATTAAAAAAAAGAATTTCCCTAAAAGAATAAATAAAAGTAAACATTTTCCATATATTCAAACTAAACGATGGAAATCCAAAAATCAATTGCGTTTATCAAAACAAATTTAATAACTATATTAAACCCTACTTAAAACTCTCATTTTGACCAAATAAAAAATATTTTAAATTATTCAGAACTATAACGTTACCAATTAAAGAATCTTAATATGTCAATAACTATTTGGGCCATTTATGGTGTAAATATTAATATATGAATCTAATTTTATTTAAGATCCTAATTTTTGAAATTTCTGTATTTCGAACAAAATTTAAAAATAATGTATGCATATAAACATATGAAAATGAACCATTTTAAATGGGACCGGATTTATTTGATAAATGTGAGCCTTAAATAAATTAGGCTTTTCAGAAAAATTATATTATTTATTACATAAATAGTTTTTACATTGGTCCACTTTTCAAATATTCAAAATAATAATAACATCAGTATTACTTACATAACAGAAATTAATTCAATTTAAATTAGATTTAATTACTAAATTTAGTGCTTAATACTATGACTTTATTTTCCCTTGCCTTTTTTTTTATCAACTCATTCTAACTGTTACATAATATGCGTATATTATTTATATCACCTGTTTTCCTTTAAATTCTATTTCACAATCACTAATTACTCAAGTACTTTGCACTGTTTTCATATCTAATAATCAACTTAATAATATATTTCACATATTCCTCGGAAAATTTACTTATTAATAGCTGAAAAAAAAAGGAAGGACAAAATAAGCTTAGGGTTTAAATTGTAGCCAAAAATAGCTTTCTTGCGCTTCAGACACGCGAAAAAAAAAAAAATTCGCCTTTTGAAAACGCTAAAAATCAAAATTCGCGTATTGAAAACGCTAAAATATGTTTTTCGCGTTTTAGAAACGCGAAAAATAAGAAGCCGTAATTAATTTAACTTAATCCTAATTAATTAACGGTAAAAGAATTGAATAAATATCAATTCGTGTTTTCAAAGCGTGAAATAAATTAAAAAATATTTTATTTAAATAAAAAAGAAAATAGGCATAAAAATATGATTAATTTGACTAGTTTAAAATGTTATAGGGAAATTGACTTCAAAAAATTATTAAATTTTAATAATGGTAACAGAAAATTTTAAAATTCTAATTGTTAATCATTAAATTTTGAATAGAGCTATAAAGAGGAAAATTATATTGATAATTTTAATAATACAAAGATTAAATTTTGAATAAGAATATAATATTATAACTGATACTCATTAAATTAAATAGAGCTATACTAAATATAAATTATTAAAAGTATGATATAGTTATTATAATGTATTAAATTTTTAGAACATTATATAAAAAAATTTAATAATGATTATATTAAAAATTTTTATTAAAAATATAATCATTATTTTAAAAAATAATTTTATATGAAAAATTTTCAATAATGATAATGACGTAATTTTATGGATTTAATTAGATGTAATTTAATTTACAAATTATTTTTATTAATTATGATGGTTTTAATATAAGAAAAAAGCTTAAAATAGGAATAAATTTTATTAAATATTTATTATAATTTACCAACACTTAAGATGAAGCAACTATTAATTATGAAAAAAAATATAAGAAAGTTTAAAGATGTGTTTCGATTTGATCGGCGAAGATGTGTTTTATAAATATTAATTATTGTATTTACGATGCAGGTGAAATCAAACTATTAAGAATATTAATACAAGTCATAACAAAAGGTAAAAAAAATAAAACAAGTCATAACAAAAGGAAAAAAAAACAAAAATGAACGAAAGGGAAAAAAAAAATACAAGTCTAATAATACTACATTAGAAGTCTAGTAGCCTACTTCTTCTTGGGCTTTTTAGCCCGAAAAAGGCTATAAGTCAATCTATCAGGCTCCTTCGTCATTCTCTGGCCTTTACTCACAGCCAACGGTGGAGTCCCTAGAGTCTGACTCGATCTCTGCTCCTCATGGCGCTGATAACCTTGACCCTCAAACTGATCATCCTGGTCTGCATCCTCAGCCTCATTCTCAGCCTCATCCTCAGCCTCATCTTCACCCTGACTCTCACGCTCACCCTCAGCTGGGTCATCAGCCTGATTCTGACCCGCAACACCCTCGAACATACTCGAAAGAAAATTACTCGTGTAATGTATCGACTGGCCATCTAGCGAACTCTGCTGAAACCCAGAAAAGTCAATAAAAGAATCTCCAAACTAACGCTGAGAAGTCTGAGGGGAGGAAAATTGAGTGAAGGCAAAATGGGACTGCTGGTGCTGGGGAGACATAATCGGACGGTAAAACGCCTGTTGGGTCGGCGAAGAATGATGTGGAGACTGATGGGATGAATGATGTGGAGACTGATGGGCTGAATGCTGTCGAGAATGGAGTGGAGACTGATGGGATGAACCGCCAGTGAAGGGAATATGAGACTGCTGATGCTGGGAGGACTGATGTGGCTGAGTGGATGTGATTGTCTCTTGCCCCCCACGCCCACGCTGAGACCTGCGCGAACGTCTCGGAGGTCTGGGTGGTGGATGTTGCTGGGTCGGGTCTACAGGTTCAAGTTCTTGACTCAAAAAGTCATTAACCTCAACATGCCTATCGAGATCGTGACGTATAACATTCGTTGCATTGACGGACAACGCCCGCTCAGCAACCTGGGCAATCTCGCCTAAGCGATCATAACCAAAGGAGTCCGCGTCGAAAGTACGCTGGCCTATAATACTCAGACTACGAACGTCCTCCATCAATGTGGCCTGAAATTTTTATTAGAAAGAATCATAAATCGACAGCAGTGTTAATAAAAAGAACCAAATGGACTGTAGGCGAAATATTCACCATGAGGTGCAAGGTCTCTACAGAGCAGTAAAAACCCCTCGCATTTTCAGAGTCCGTCGGATCCGTAACATACTTCACAGTAACCTGATGGTACCACAAGAGATACTCCGGATCTGCGGAAGGCTCACCAACATAATCATCATCAGTCCCCACAAGTCGGCCGTGGCGATCATTCCAAACCTGGAGATATATCCCTAGTTGTTGTAACCATCTCCTATCGGATCCTCCAAACGGCTTCCTCTTGAGCAGGCTAGTAATTCCCACCGCAGTGAGAAGTAATGCGTCGTCGGGTATCCGCTGGTGATAACCAAATTGGTGAAATACCCTACTGGCGTTGTGTGGCGCAACGACATCACCGCAGATGAGCTATGTCTGAGATCGCCATATGCCCTGTCCCACAAGACAAACCCTGACAATACGACCCAGAAGAGTCGTGTACGGTATCCATACAAACTGCAATGGTAATTAAGTAAGAGACGCGTAATTAAAAGTCAAGCACCGTTAAAAAAAACGAATAAAACATAAGTTATACTAATTGAATAGAATACTAATATCAGATTCTGCGAGAATTGCAAGCTGATCCCGGTACGCGGCCAAATTGAACCGCGTGATACCTTGAACTTTTTTCTCACGGGACCACCTGCACGGAGAAAGTAACATTAAATTGAGACATGACAGTACAAATCAAAATGTCAAATTTACGAAGGTTTGATGTATAAGATTACCTCGTGCCCAATGGACAATGAGATAGATCGAGCTCCCCACCCAGTATCTTGGGCTGAACCATCAAAATCCGCTCCCAGGCCTAGAGCTAATTCAGAATGAAGAAATCATTAGCTAAAATCACCAATAATTATGGGAGAATATAAAATGAAACTAGAGAGAAATGAAAAGATAAAATACCTGAAGAAGAATCACACAGCCGGTAATAGCCTTGGCAGAAGCGGCCAGAGATGACTTGGACATGCTGCGGTACAAGTAACATAGTGCCGCACTACCCCAACTGTACTCCGAGCAAATCTCGGGAGTTTGAAGAAAATGCACAAGATCGAGAGGAAAACTGTTTCTCGTAGTGTTTGAGAACAGTAATCCGCCAACGAGTCATCCAACAAAACAACGGGCTCGTTGTAGGTGTGCATCGTCAGGGGACAGGTCCGTCAAAGGATTATTCTCTATGTGAGTCTTTATTTCAGTGATGGAAACGCTCGTCACTCTAGACTCCTCTATCTGGAACCTAAATCCAAACATCCTCTCCAAATAGGCTGCCCAACCACCATCAGGCGTGGTGTGATGTCCTGTAACTGGACGTCCATCAACCCGAAGACCCAAAAGAACCTCGACGTCCTGGAGTGTGATAGTAGCCTCCCCAAAAGGTAAATGAAATGTGTGGGTCTCTGGGCGCCATCGCTCCACAAGAGCTGTAAGCAGGGCATGGTCATATCTTATGGACCCAACTCTAGAGAATGGTCCAAAACCAAATTTCTCAATATATTCCTTTGTCAACCTCGGTGCATCTTTTATTAATTTCCACGCGGCGCTATCTATGCGCCTGGGCTCCGAAATCCCTATATCATACTGTGCACCATGGAATATATTGTGTGACCTATGGGCGTTTTGGAGAAACAACAAACTATTGTCTCTGGGTCCCTGTCGTAGCTTCTTTGAGGTAGATTGGGAGGAAGAAGATGATCCAATGTCCATGGCTAGTACAATTTACAAATGATTTTAGTAAGTACAGATTAATATTAATTATCCTTTGTTATTATCCTATACATTAAAAAATCCACAATTACAACACCTATAATACTAGATCTATTAACGGAGTATTAAATCGTGAAATAAAATTACAAATAAAACGAACACAAAATTTATAGGAATCGAAAATTAAAGCATGAATTAAAAAAAAAACGATTCAATGAGAGCAAAAAACACAACTTACCTCAATATATAGCCTACAAAATGCAAAAAATTGATGCCGAAACTCGATTCCGGCAATGATCCCGGAAAAACCGCCGGTTTCAATGGAGTACGCCGGATATATGGTTCTGTTTGAGAAACATCAACCCGAAACGCGAAAACTTTATTTAACCACCCATTTTCGCGTTTCAGAAACGCGAAACTACCTATATACCAATAATCGCGTTTCAGAAACGCAAAAATAATGCTCTCCCTTTTTTCGCGTTTCAGAAACGCGATTTATTTTAAAACTGAAAAAAAACGTTTAGTGTTTATTTCGGTGATGAATAAACAAATAACTAATTTTCTTACCCTTTAGTGTTTATCAAATAATTAGTGCTTTATTCGACATGTATATATCCTATCACTCTACCACTATAGTAATAATTAGTAATATTAAAATGAACTGCGACGTTTTTTTTTACAAAAATATTACTAATATAAATTACAGAAACATCCAAACCAACACACTAACACAAATACAAACGCAAGCTGATTCATCCTTTGAGGTTTACTACATGAATGTTCAAAACAACACAAAAATACGAACACTAACAGAATCATCACAACACACGATGTGTGAAATCATCACTACGCATCATCATCATCATCAGAATTGATATTAGGCACACCATGAATTCCATATGGATCGTACAGTTTATCAATAGCGGTCCTGTTAGCAGGTGGATGAGAAAAAGGGCATTCCACAGCATCATGATCTAAACTTCCACATCGTGAGCAAACTCTCGCATATGGGCAAGCCCTGGCATTATGGCCTTGTAGCTTACATAAACTGCAAGTTTAGAGTCTTCGCTGGCCAGATTTGCTTGTATAATCCATCACACCTTTTTTCCGATTCACACTCTTCCGACCTCGGCCATCATGGTGGACAAGTTTAGTGTCATCTGGCCTGATCTGCCACGTTGCCTTTGGCCATGGTTCCATGGTTTGGTTGAATTCTCCAGAAAACTGCTGGTACCATTGATGCGTAGTGTAACATGGATCAAAAAGTGGGAAGGGATCGTCACCTAGCTCACGGGCAACTCGAAGTGCATGGGAACAAGGAAATCTGAAAGTCTTCCACCTTCCGCAAGTGCACTCTCGATTTGCATACAGCACAACTTGCTTCTCCTCAGCCTTCCATGGTTGATTATCATGTGCTATTGTAACCACTTCGTACTTCTGGTTTCTCTTGCTAAACCGGTTGACCTTTTGCCTCAATGATTTCTTCCGGGCCTCTTCATATAGTTTCATTGGCTTAGGAGGTAGACCAATCTGACATTTTTGGATCATATCAATGTTTGCCTGAAACAGATTGTTGCTTTTCTGAAAGGATGCTAGGATCAAAGCTGTGATCGGGAAGAATCTAGCACCTTTCAGCACATTATTGAAACTCTCTGAAATGTTAGTGGTCATTTCTCCCCAACGATGCCCTCCATCGTGTAAACAGGTCCATTTCTCAACACCTAGCTTCTGAAACCAACGAGCAGCAGGCTCATTTTTTTCTTCTAATTTTTGCCACTCTGCCAAAAACCTTATCTTTTGCGTCACTGAACCAATCATTTGACAGTTGCCTCCCAGTTTCTCCTTTCGAAAATGCCCAACCAAGTTTGCTTTAACATGCTCTAGACAATACCGGTGGACTCCCATCTCTGGGAATTTTTGCAACATGATGTCCATGGCAGTAAGGATACCCTGATTTCGATCAGAGATAATACAGGTCTTCCTATCTTGTAGAACAAACTTTTTCAAATACTTCAAAAACCATTTCCAGCTGTGTATAGTCTCTTCGTCCACAAGAGCAAATGCGATGGGAACAATCGTGCCATTTGCGCACTTTACACATGCCACAATTAGTTTTTCTTTGTAGGATCCTCGCAGGTGAGTGGCATCAATGGTTATTACTGGCCAGCAAGCATGAAATAACTGTATAGATGGCCCAAATGCCCAGAAAACATACCTACATACAAATCTTTGCGAGCTTCCTGAATTTTCCTTAAACTTGAATTGCACATAAGTGTCCGGGTTTGACATGAACAATGCATCAAGGAAGCTAGGCAGTTGTTGAAAATTACTTTCCCATGTACCATACAGAGCCTCAAGTGCTTTTCTTCTACCATGCCATGCCTTCTTGTAGCTACATTCGACTTGGTACCTCTTCAAAACTTCTATTTGAATTTGGGCAACTGCAAAATCTGGATGTTTTCGCACATTTTGGGCAACCAGTCTAGCAATCATAGAAGACGTGACGTTTCGGGACTCGTTTCTCTTGTTTGCCCCAAGACAGTTGTGGGAATCGGACCATACCACCATTTTCCAAGTATCGGTGGCCTTCTGTAGCGAAACTCGTGCCTTCCACAGACAATCATAGCCGTGAAGATGCTCTTTCGGATATTTGAGTCCACACGTCTCGCATTCGACATACCATGTTCGTTTAGAGCTCGTTTTCACCCGGAAAGTCCGACCATGTACCAAGTTCCATTTTCCCACTGCCGCTTGTGTCTCAGGCTTGTTGGTGAAATGTATATCAAGGCCTAGCGTCAACGGATTGCCATCCCACATTTTAATCCCATCACAATCTACTTCCTCTAAAGTCTTGTCCCATCCACCTATGTCGTCGAAAACATATGGGACTGAAGAAGATGACTCAAAATCAGTGTCGTCATCTGAGTCCTCATCCGATGGGACGTACTCATCATCACTGCTTTCGACACCCCCGCCATCTTCATCTTCATCTGCATCTTCATCTTTATCTTCATCTTCATCTCCATCTTCATTGTCTTCAACTGTTCTACCACCACTAGTGCTTGCACCAATATCCTGGCCAGATGTACTTGCATAAACATGGCCTGTTCTCTCAACATTTTCAGGGTACAATTAAGGCCATTTATCAGCACAAAGATAAATGAATCGAACAGTATTATCATCATTAATGTGCACATGAGACCTTTTT